GTTACATTGTTATTTGATAAACAATATTTTACATTTTACATTATTCAGAATTGTAAACCAAATTTAAAAGCTGTAAAATTTGCAAACAAATAAATAAATTTAAAATTTAGCGGTGTATTAACTCATTTTATTCAAATTGTACTTCAGAATTAGGGTTAGATATTTAAATACGTAATACGTTTATTTGAATAAAGAAGTGTAATAAAAATTTTAAGTAGTCGAATGCGATTCTATGGATTCAATGTTTACGGGTCGACGATAAGAGCGCGAAAATTACTTTTAATCGGTTTGCGCCCTAAGGTCTATCCACACATATCCGGGCCGTGGACGGGCCCGTCCTGGCTCCGTCAGGGGCTAAAAAAATTATCGTTGTGTATATTTTGTATGTACTCGTTCTCACATGTCCGTGTCCGGGCTGGGGCCGGGACGGGCCCGCAGTTTATACAAACTAGCACGCCCCGTGTACGTCTCGGGCACGGCCCGGATATGTGTGGATAGTCCTTTAGAGTATGGAAAAAAACTAAGGTTTGCGCTGCGACGTACGGGTAGCGGGCGGCGAATGATAGATGCGGGTAGCGGGATGAGACGTATGTTTTTGTATAGACCCGACGTCCAGTTTTTGGTAGGTCAATGCATAAAACCATTGCATAAAACTGAATGCTCTCGTTGCTGCAGCATAAGCTGCCTGCTTATGGGGTGAAATTTGACTGACTTCATTTAAATGAGGCATTATTTTTGTCCACATTTATTTGTACAAAATAGGCACCGTTACAGAAAGGCGACTTTTTATCTATTAAAATATTGACAAATTGCAGTTAATATACAATAAGTCTAAATCAGTTTAATTTAACAATCAAATAAAAAAAAATCTCTCTTCTGGTGGTTTATTACTATCTGGGCCGAGGTATTGGCGTCTTAGTTCGAGGTCTGCCGGCGCGGATATGTCGTCTTGGAGTATTTTGTAGGCTTGTTCTATAGTACTCTCTATTTCGGATTTGAGTTCCTGTGAAAGAAGTAACAATAAATAAGTTGCCTCGAAGATATGGTTACATATGTAGCATAACTTTATGCGTTATATCTGCTTAAATTACTGTTATGTGTTGTCATTGTAATTGTAATGTAGTGGGCCATGAGACTAATAGGGCTAGTATATAAGGGTGCGACTTTCGCGAGAGCGATATAGAGCGCGTGATTTCTATGCGAGAATAGCAGTATCTCGCGCTTTATATCGCTTTCGCTCAAGTCGCGCCTTATCGTGCTAGCTCTACCGTAAAGGGCCCGAAAGTTATTTTGTTTGAAAAAACAAATATTCGCGATTTAAATCCGGAAAAATAGTTTAATTTCCTATGTGTAGCAATCGCTCAACCCTAAGAACTCGATATCATTTACTAAGTTTTCGTCATTACTAATCATGACAGCTTATAAATACTATTGTATGATAATATTGAATACAATCGTGTACATGCGTGTGTTAGGGATTTTACGTTAGTGTTTAAAACCATTTTTTGTTTGTGTTTCTTTTTTTTGTAATATTGACCTGGTAATCTTGTAGCACTTCACTGTTAGATAGGTGGTTATTAAATCACCTCATACAGGTCTGGAGAGCGACGGGCACGTTCAGCCAGCGTGGCGTGAAGGTGATAGAGTAGCAGCCCTCGCTGGTGCGCGTCGCCTAGTCCCAAAGCCGCCACTATGCGGAGGATGCCGCGGCACAGGTTCTCTTTCAGTGACAGACGGGACTCCGACAGATCTGTAAACATCAGTTCACACATGTTAGCAAACGTTATATTTTTCATTTTCATCTTTTTCTAATAATAAATATCCTCATATGCCTGTCAGCATTGTAAATACGCGCAGAATCTGCAACGTCATATTTTTTAGATTTCAGCGTATTTTACATTTGCATTTATTTGCTTTCAGCACGTGTGTTTGTCAAAAGGCGCGTTTTCTATGGTTGTCAAATATAAGCGTGTTTGAAGCGGATGTGATCCGCTAGGGTTATGCACTAGCAAAAGTTCGTACCTTGTATGTTTTATTTCAAAACCACAATGACACGAAAGTCGACCCTTGTTATGCACAACAAAGATCCATGATGTCTTAGTAACAATAAAGTTATAATTACGTTTGTACTTAAATTCAACTACGGATTTTGTGCTTATTATTAAATATCGCATCATGGGGCACTCATTCCGCGACAGCCGCGATAGTCTTCTGAGGCCTGAGTGTAAATTTGTAATCATTCAAACTTAATTACCGCGTTTGGTTATAGATTTTTATTTAGTTCTTCATTATATATTTATAAGGTTTAAATTAAAATCTTAACGCAAACGCGATAATTAAGTTTACATGTTTGAAAACTCATATTAAGGCCCCCAGGAGGCCGTTGCTGCTGCCACGTATTCTGTTTAATAAAGACGCCGTCTGTTTAATAATGTACATAATGTCGTATTATTATTTACCTTCGTCTGAAAGGAGACCCGTGCACAGTAATGGGACGTTTAAATGGTTTCATGATGATTATTTATCATAAGATCGATTTTCGTTTCATCACTTTTTGGCTCAGGGAATTAGAAATAGTTGGCAATAGATCACAAAGACCTTCATCGATAGACAATGACGGCAATAGGCCAAGTCGATCGGACAACTCTAAAGCAATTCTGATTCATAAATCCGATAATCACTTGCAAACAAATACACAGATGGGCGGTAATTTTATTATTGATTGTAGTATCACTCATGCCTTCTCACATCGTTACGCTAAGCTACACAGGTGTCAGAACACTTAATTAGCATTAGATATTGCACTTGTTCATTGATGATAACACTATTATGATAGGTATTTAGATGACGAGGAAAGATATGTAAGAAAAGAACATAGTTTGAAGATAGGGTACTAACGACACGGGTAAGCAAATCCACCTGGAGACAACGTGAGGGCGCGCGTTTCTTGCTGCTGCGCCCATGTTAACGGCGGCGGCGGTCAATCAAACAACTGCTCCTCGCCGTGCTATCGTACTCGATTTTATTCACTTGTTGCGTCGTAGGTACTCAGCGAACGAGGGGACACGCTATTCTAAACTCTCACGACGTCTAACGGCATAAAAGCATTAAACATGATTTTACGAAACGGCGTAGTAGATGACGACGCCAGAACATAATTCTCGAACTATTCTTGTCTTACACCAAATCTGAACTGGAAACATTCGCACACTCAATTAAGTTTTCCGTTCGTTGCAGAATATTAAAAGTTGATAATATTTGGTATCTGCCCAAAGCAGAGTTAAATTGAGAGTTGAAAATGCTGACTACCGACGTTTAACATTACCGACTTTTAGACTGCCCTCCTTGTCATAAACAACGCATTTGCATTTTGGTAACTTTCGAATTATTGGCCATTTATTTATTCAGCATTGGCTACAGAGTTATCAGCTTAAAAAGGTAATAAATAATTAAGAAACTCAAAACGTAAACGTAAAATTAAAATTGTAGTCGTGTAAAAATTGGAACCACAAAAACTCACCGTTTTTTTGTCGAGAATATTGGAACCATAAGTAATTTTTTTTTCTTTGAAAAATGTCAATTATGCTGATTTTGCCTAACAATAAAACTGAAACTATTTAAGATATAAAAAAACGGCTTATAGGGGATTGTAGATCTCGTTTTACTGAGACAATTTCGCCGATTACGTCGTTTATGATGATAATATAATAATAATAATTATATATTTCGGACCATTAAAAATATCCATGGTATGTTAATACGAGAATTTAAACATACATACAACGCAGACTTAATTTATTCCTACACTATAAATTGGGCTACGCCCTTAATAGCTCAATACAGAATTTTACAATTGAACAGTCAAAACTTCGCGTCAATAAATAAGTACGGCAGTATAACATTCAGTAAAGTTGTATTTTAATCTCTGTATCTTCGTTAATGACACTAATTTATAAATCACCCCATTGAGAAAATGTTAAAGGATATGAATTTTTCAACGTCATTCTAACAATCACAGACACTTGGCTCTCATCATCATTATCAATTTATTACAACTCATAAATTACAAATAAATATGTTCTAATTAGGTGGATGAAAGTGTACGAATATCTTAAGTAATGTAAATAATTTCCTAGTGCCTTAAGAAACATGGGTTAGTATCGTTCAAGCGCTATTCGACCCATATGTTCGCAACCGTATCATGCTTCGGTGCAATATGGCACGCGCTGGCGCATTACGTGTTTCCATAATAATGTAAGTATTAATTATGTGTATTGTTATTTAACCAGATGAGATTAATAACTTATTCCTGTTAGCACAACTTCAAAATTATATCAACTTTATGAGCATACATACTAAGGCAGATAAGCAGGTGCTTGTTTTGTGGCATAGGTATACATTTTATCAACAGATAAAAATAGATACAACAGTTTTTATGTTAGATTTTTTTTGACATTATCGGTAATAGAAAATAAAAATGCAACTAAATTTGCGAAAATTATCATTCGTCGTAGACGTAGAGTAACGAATCGTTACTGTACATCTACGTATTTTTTTCGAAATTCCAAGTCTACAAACGTATTATAAGGGACGTGCAAAATATTCGTAATTTACGTAACCACAGGCCCTTTGTTCTGAGACGAATGATAATTTTCGCAAAACGAACCCTATGGTTCTATTTCGCCCTGTATCTTTGTATATGGCAAACATGAAGTAACCCTTTAATTAAAAGCCAGCAATTCTAAAGTTGTTGCAGACACGGCATCTTACGAGACGTGTAAATGGAAATAGATCCCTACATTGATTATGACGCAACACTAAATTAGGCATATATTAATTTATTATTGGCTGTTTAGCAACTTAATAAATTATTCGCACGCATAATAATAAATTAGATACGCAATAGATCGGTATTTATATTATGTACATTAGTTGCGGTTGTTCCATGTTCTGTTAATTTGCGTGTGGTTTAAGCAAACCTTGACAGCGTGAAAACCGCCGGCGGCCTAGAAACTTTATACGTACACGGACGTTTTGCACATCTTTTTAGATACCTAGGTTTATTCTGGGGGCTTTTTATTTTGTGAATAGAAATAGAATAGAAATAGAAATAGAAATTATTTATTCAATGTAAAGCACATATATAATATACACATGAATAATGCTAGTGAGCGTGTTAATGAAATAGTAGAGCACGCAACTTTGAAAATAATAAATCAAACAGAATTTCAGCAAAGTGAGGTATATTATTACCAGGCGAAGCTTAAATAGGCAAAGTTATACTAAAACAGCATTAATTATGATAGCAGCGTTAGAAAATAGTTTTAGTAGAGCCTCATACCATTTATTTGAACACCTTCAGAATTTTCAAGATTATACGCTAATCTCAATTGTAAATCGACTAATATATGATTTGTATTTGGAACGAATTGATGTAACCTGTTTAGTACGGGAGATTCTAATTGCATTTTGCCATCCAAGTTTAGGGTTCCTACTAGGCTGCCAAGTACACTTTGTACAACGCTCACTTTTTCAGGCACTTCGATAACACCACAACAATCACAATTCCACTCCGTATTGGGGTTTAAAGGCACTAATGGCAAAATGACCCCACTGCAATTTTTTGACAAGCATTTCAACGCAGACAGATTTGTCCCCATCTCAGTTTTGTCCCCGCACCTTCCACATTTGCACCAAAATTTTTTTGTTTTATAAAGATGGCAACGCCTGGCTGCAGTGCACCATAATTGTCCAGTGTAACATGTAAAAATTTCTTCTCCAATTTCAATGCTTTTACTTGCGTAAACAGCCATCGAGTAATCCTTTCTGACCATATTTCGTGTATTAGGGACACAGTTGTGATTCATTAACGATGATAAAGGATACAAGCCTCGAAGAGACACTTTCCTTTTATCAGAGTTATTGGAAATTCTAAAGGCATTTCTTTTTAATACAGTATCCATGACTCTCATAATCTCGATTTGTGCAACTGGGATTTCGTATCTGGAACATAAATTGTCAAGCCCTTTAAAAACAGGTCGTTCGATATCGTTTTGCAATATTGATATTATTTTGAATTGTTCTTCATTTAACATTAAAATACGCAGATGTATTAAAATTTTACGAAGTATGGATGAGTCTGTTGGATAATTCGATTTTAATTTCCAATTTACAGTAATGAAGTTGCATTCTCTGTTATGTTCCTTTGTTGTAAAACATTCTTCAGAGCACACTGGCAAGGAACATTGCTTGCAAGGGTAACAGTCTCTTTGTTTATAACAGTAGGAGCAGAAATTATCTTCAAGGCAGTCTGCTCTCGGTGCAATGACCAGTGGTCTGTTAACGAAGATAAGAGTCCCTTGTGGTATGGCTTTCGTGGCGAAAAGTCCCCTGCCTCCAATGCTGGAGTTTTTTATTTCCCAACTGTCACAAAATTTATTTTCTTCATTTTGGCTGAGGTGATTTTGAAGGGCTTCAATTCTGTCCACCTGTAAAGCTGATTTCACGGCTGACTTAGCTAGCATGGTATGTCTATAGAACGCGCTGCGGTTAACTGAAACATTAGCGTTATGAAAATAGCTTCTGGAAAAAAATAGTTATGTTGGCCTTGTCGAAACTGACGTATTATTTGTGACCGGAACGGTTTTTATGAATCAGTCCACATCCACTCACCGTGACGAAAGCTGTTACCTATACATTCGGAAAATACTCGTGCGAAATGTGAAGTATTTAAGTTTTTCTTCATTTTGAATTTTTTTTTGCTTTTTGCTATCAAATAAGTACATGATAAATTATATTCGTAATAAATTAATGTACAGACGTTGATAATAATAAACAAAGTGGAACAAAACGGTACATGATTTCAAAGTATTCCGGATACCGAATAACTTTGGCTTGAAATAAATATTTGTATTTGGTTTTATTATTAATTCCATGCAAATATGTTGTCGCTTCAACTGCCTCTGTGGCCGAACAGTTAACATGCTGGACTGCAAAGCAGAGGTCCCGAGTTCGATTCCCGGGCCGGGAGAAATATTTTTATAGCCTAAATTTATTTCTCTCGTGAGTTTGGATGTAATTTCTGGTTGTTTATGGTTTGGTGTGTCTCCATGGCACCCGCGATACAGGGCTTCCCTAGTGCGGGACTATGAGTGTGCGTGTTATTATTATTATTAGTGTGTACTTCGAGGCTGCAACACAAAACGAACGGGATGTGAAAAAATTATTTTAGTTGTCCAGGGTCATTTACAATCCATATACCAAAGTGTAAAAATTTTAAGGGTACTCAAAGTATTCAAGGTTGTTCATGTCCACTGTCCAGTGATAAAACTATTATCATGTGTGCACTGCGCACTTTAAAGGGCGTTCTAAATGCAATGCAAATGCACGTGAGGGAACAATAGCGGCGGTCAGTATTTCTGTACGACGAGTTGCTACGCAGTCGAAGCTATACAGTAACCATAACCATACACTCGCACAGTTCTAGGGATAAGCGTAACATATCCGACCATAGTTTTCAGTATCATTCAGTTTTGATACTGTCGATTGTATATAACGTTCCACTGCTGGAAACGGGTCTTCTGGGTAGATTGGGTTAAAACAGAACACTGATCGAACACTGGTTGAGACTCATCTTTGAAGAGGTTTTCATATTTTAATTCTTACGTATCGTCACGGTGTTTTCATTCATTGTTTCTATTTTATTAACCGACTTTAGAATAAGGAGGAGGTTCTCAATCCCACTGTATTTTTTTGTGTGTATTTTACGCGATTACTCCGCCATTTATTTGTGAACCGATTTCGATGATTTTTTTGTTGGAAAGGGGGTATCCCAGTAGTTGTCCCATTCTAAGGATGGTAAATTAGGAGATGAATTTGGTTTATTGGATTTCACCCACTTTCTGTTACCCGTTTTCAATAAAAGCCGGCAAACAGATGTAATTCCACGAACATTTGAGGTCGATTTTTTTTTATTTGCACATAAATTTAAATTGCACAAAGTCTGGCCTCCTGAGTGGAAGCTAACCATGCTGGCTATGTTGTTGTTTGGGTCAACATAACGTTTTAAATAATACTTACTTCTTAAATTGTAGTACTATGTATAGTTGAACACAACCTCGTAGTACATGCAGGTAATTTTATTTCTTATATTCAGTGCAATTTGCTTGTTTTAGAAATAGTGCCTTTGAGCGATGCTACTAAACTATCGTCAATCGTATCGTATCGTAGTCTTTTTACGAAATAAATCTGTGGAGAATTATATTTTTTTCAGTGACTGTACCTAAATGATAGGTTATTTTCGTCACCGAATAAAAAACTAGGTGTCTATATTAAAGAGTATACGCACTAGCGTATCTAGCTATGTCATATTTAAAAATATACATCGGAGACTTACCTGGATGGCGAATATCGTGGATACCATAAATTAGCCGACATTGGAGATCAATAACTATTTGGTTTGTTTTCGGAATGAATTTTTTAATACGATTCAGTAGAAAATTTTCTAAGTCATCCACGTCTTTGAAGTTCAAACTTGCTAACATACTTCCCAAGGCATTTTGCACTGCAAAAATATTTTTGCTTGGAACTCGCATACCACATTCCAAGCACCGCCAAGGTGATGTCGGTATTAGAGGTTCCAGTGGTAAAAGAGATCCTGGACAGTAGGTCGCAAAGCACTTCAAAGCTGCCAACATAGTACCACGTTCAGTCGGATCAGCACATCGGTCGCATCGGCACAAGAAATGCTTTGTCTTTCTTAGATAAACTTGTCTGGCCGGTGTTCCCCAAAAAATTCCTGTGTAGCATGTAAATATTTCGGTACCAGTTGGTATAGGTTTTGTTGCTTTTACAATCATTTCACGTTCGCTATTAAAATTATATCTTATGTTAGGCACACAGGTACTATTCAAGAGTGCAGACACAGGAAACAATCCTTTTGTATCCATTTCCTTTTTACCATATGTACTAGCTACTTGAAATGCATTTGTATCTATAACGTAAGACGCAAGTAACATAATTTTTTCTTCGTGATCTGGTATATTAAAATATTCTTTTAAATGCTTGACTTCAAATCCATGTTTTGGATCTTCATGACCGCACAGAGAAGCCATGAATCGAAACCGATCCTCTTTCAACAATAGTGCTCTTATCACTGTCAATGCTCGCGACATTATCGTATCGTCGACTTCCTCCATGGGTATTTTATTCTCCCAACGAGAAATAATATTACAATCATCGTTATGTATGCATGTACTTTGGCATTCTTCAGAACATAGTAATAGCGCACACCTTGAACACTTAAAGAACATGTCACTATCTAATTTGCAGCACACAGTACATCCTCGTGGTAGGTCAACACCGGAGCGTGGACCATATATCAGCGGATGATCTATAAAAAGCACTTCTCCGGGTGATATATCTTCTGCAGCAATGAGTCCACGACCTGAGACTTGAGATTCGCCGATAATCCATTTGTGAGAACTATGAACTCCAAGGTGATTCTTTACCATTTGCGACAATTGATCCAATGACGACATCCTGCCACGAGTGGTCGTGTGATGGCACTGCACTGCGCGAATTATCCGAATGCGAGCATTTACATCAGAGAGTTTGATAACACGGTCTCAGATACGTCTAACCATGATCGGATATGTTAGGTATAATCGCCAACACGCACGCGTTTTTCTCCGTAATTAACTGCTTGGTCGTGTCTTTGAAGTTCTTCACGTTTGTTGCCAACTAAGGCTATGCATACATTGCAATTTGAAAACCAAAAGAATATACGCTAAATAGGCGATTATGTGCATTAACCGAGTACTTGATGTGTGTAGTGTAGAAGGTGATCTGCGAAAACTGTTGTATACGGATTATAGAAACGGGAATAGATAGAGCTATTTTTATTTTTTCGTGAACCCTAGACGATGTCCGTCTCTTTACGTCACACTAATCGGGTTATATCAGGTGGACGTCAGTTGTTCCCGACTCTAACCACGGTTTGATTTATAGTTCGAGCGATATGTAGAGAATTGAAATAATTCAATACATGATTGGCATCGAGCTCTTTTGTTATAAATAAATATTACAATATTATTTAGAAAACTACTTATTTGTTTAGCATAGCAGCTGATTGCCGGATTATTGCAAATAAAATACTCTAGTTTACAATGCTCCTATTTATTCATCATTGGCCATAGTTACGGCGTAACTGAAATCCTATCTAAATTCTCAATTCTTTGCATAAGTTGACACTTATTTCGATAGCTGAGCGAATAAAATTATTAGCAGTGGCATATAGAATATAAATAATATCCAACGAAGAAAAACTTTCATCCATTTCACACATGGAGTTATGGCATAAAAATAGTTAAAAACCAAAAACAAAGATGCAATAAACATGAAAAATATTATATAAAAATTCGTAAGGTCAGCTGATTCGTTCCGTAGCTCAGTCACCCCAGTTAAAGGGCGTCAGCTACGGTATGCTAAAAGACGCTGGTTCGAATTCAGCCGGATCGAAAGATTTTTTCTTAGTGTTCGAATTGTGTATTAATAATTAATATCCAATGACTTTACCAGTTAAAGATTAAATTAAATGTACAATGATAATAAATTTAGATGCAAACACTTTGCCTACTATACCAGTGAATTTAAATGTCGACGAATGAAATTTAACCATTATTCAGCGTAATATTTAAATTTTAGCCTAATCTGCTGTGGTTTGACGAGTTTCGCAATATATTTGGAATATTTACATGTACCTAAGTGAGTACTTAATATCAACCATAAACAGCTTATTTTACAAGTGTAGGGGAACGTGGGGTATTGGGAGCCCGCGGGTAATGAGAGCGCTGTTAAACTGGACGTTTGCAATGCTCGTATTTGTGCAAACGGCACTCCTATGTCTTCGTTAACGTTCGTCAAGGTTCGAATCCTGTGGGTGACCCCGTAGAACCCTGCGTTTAGTCGTATGAGATGGTTGTGTGTTTTTCGCTCCGCGCTTATAAAATTTTCCAAATTTCATAATTCCAGGTAAGCATTAAAATGCATAGATACTACATTGTATTTACAGTAGCTATGTCACCATATCTATCAAATTTTAGATGTTTTGCTTGAAATCACAATAAAAATAGAAATGTTTTTACTGTTTTATTTCTTTTTCAATTCGATGTTACGCGGGTAATGAGAGCTATTTGGCTCTCCTTATCTCATTGCAATATTCACTGGATAATCCTTTAACACTGGCTTGTTTATTCTCATTACTTTTTAACTTATATATTTTATTAGTTTAATTTTTTTTTCAGACTGATTATATATAATGGCTCCCATTTGACATACGGGATTCTTACCGGCTCCCATTTCCCGAACTGTGGGGTAATGGTAGCGAATGACATGTTTTAGGTTTTTCTTCTTAACCAAATATTATATTTTAATTTCACATTTTTTCTGTGATTATCTAGTACCCCGATATGTGAAGCGTACGTTCATAACTAACAAAAATTTAAATTGCATAAATTATGACATTTATTATCAATTTTCCTTAGTAGGCCCCCATTCCCCCACGTTCCCCTACTTATTAGTAAAACTGAATCACATATTACTTCTGCTTATTTGTTTTTGAAATAGGTAAATTTAAATCACCAGAAATATTAGTGATATATTTCTATTCTAATAGACTCTAGTAACTAGAGCACACTCACAACATCTACTTTCTGTACTTCGACAAACCTTTAGCGTAACAAGTCGTTCACGCCCTCGATACCGCACACAAATGCCTTTAGCCCTGGTAACCCGATCTGTTCCTATTGTCCCGACATCCCGTTGGTTCGTCAACCTGTCCAGTCTCTAAAACAACTTGTCCTACGTGGACGTCTTTACTTAGTCGAAATACATAAATTTACTTATTATTTAGGCATTATTATCATCTCAAGCCACTGCTTTTGGTGCAATTCAGTGATAAGTGACCTTTTTATGAGCAATGGAAATTTACAACTATCATGAAGACGAGTGTCCGTGGTACCACTTCGATAGTTCGTATAAAACTTTGCTCGGATATTGTTTAATCGTTTTTGGTGAGATACACAGAATTAATTGTATACGTACGCTCACTCACGCACTGCAGAGGTACCTGTTTAAACTTTGTACAGATGATAGCACATCGAGCTATACATTGACGGATCTTGTTCTGTTGCACTGGACGCGATATACGAACAAAAGTGCATAGTTTGTTGTCCTCTTTACTGTATATAGTTTAAAGTACCTCTGCAGTGAGTGTGAGCACTCTTTAAACAATTACTTACGAGCATAGATGTTCTTCCGCTCACTTGGTTGTAGGAAAAATTTAACTCTCTTAGGCCGACGTCACACTCAAGAATTCACTGTTAATGTATACATTACATATAAATATCAGTAGAATTAATTTGCTACTTAAATATACTTACTATAGGTAGTGTATAAAGTTCTGAAAAAAATGTTTTAATCTACTACGTAGATAGATATCATCGGTCCAAAGCTGATGGTTCGTGTTTTTTTGTTAAAGTGCATCAGTTTGATCACATTTGATTAATTTGTTGGTTTAAATACGCCCTAATGAAACTTTATAATATCGATTATCTATTAGCATATTATAAGTGAAGAATATTCGTTAACAGGTGTGTTTGGGGTGCTGCTCAATGCCTGGCTTTTCGCCACGTTTGTCCACAGTCGCCTACTGGTGTTCAAAAGCCATATATTGGTACTGAATCTTTGCTCGGCGTCTTTGGGCAGGAACCTACTTGGATTTCCTTTTGCGGGGTCTTCAGCGATTTTCAAAAGGTGAGTTCAAGCAGAGTTATAAAACCAAATCAAAAAAGTTTTTTGCGTACTAACTCTTTCTATTGGTACTTGTTTGTATTTCTGGATATTACAAAGTAGTACACCCAATATGTACCTACACGTACCTACATGAGTACGCATGGAAGAAATACGTATATGAGTAGTTATTACCGACTAAACCGTATGATCTTTTGTTTCAGATGGTTGTATGGCCCTGCGTGCTGTCAACTTTTCGCATTTTTGAATCAATTCTTTGGTGTGTTTCAAATCACAGCCATATTCGTTATAGTTTTAGAGAGATACTTATTAGCAAAACATTATAGACGAGGTAATGTAGTTACCCCCGTTATATATTTATTACTATTCTTTTTACATGTTCAACTTGATTAATTGTTCCACGATCTGTTCAACATTTTATCGTTTCAGAAATATCTCTCTATTACCAATTCTACTGGTTATTCATCGGATTATGTTGGATAGTATCTCTAACATTCTCCATTCCGCCTTTATTCGGTTATGGACGATATTCTTGCGACACCACTGGAACAACTTGCTCTTTTCTGTGGCCAGCATGGAGTGGTGGAGCTAAACAATTGGGATTTGCTGCACCTTATGTTATAGTATGTGGAATCCTACCGGTCATTTCGATGTACGTTGCTCATTATCACATTCATTTCATATTCCTATAGTACTTTAAAAATATGTGAACAGGTAGGTCCCTGCTTTTATAGATTAATAGAGAACCGGAAGAGTCAGCCGGTGCTGACGATTTGGCGGTGAGCTGAGTCCTTAGATGTAGATTTATATAGGTACGGTTGCTAGTTGATAATAACTGATACTATTCCAGATTTTTCTTCATGGGAAAAACTATTCGACTGGAGAGAATATACTACAGAAACGAGCAGTCTAAAGAACAGAAACGTTTAACGAAGGTAGGGCTCGTAATTATTAAGTTAAAACTATAAAAAGTGTTAAATTTTTCGTTTTAGCTTTTTCTTAGCCAAAATGAGATTAGGCATATATATTTTTTAAATAACGTTATCGATTAGATTATTGTGGTCGGCAGAGTGTTCAAGCTCTCACGGTGACAACGTTGGCGTTGTGGGTCCCTGCAGCAGTACTGGCGGGATCCCAGTGGTTTCCTGTACTAGTTCTAGGCTACCGACCACACGTGCCAGCTGTTTTAGCTTTGATTGCACCAATTGCTTCTGAGGTAAGAAAATGTAAAATGTGCTAATGAAAATGTTCAGATTTTTCTTCACGGGAAAAGCTTTTCGGGTGGAGAGAATATACTACAGAAACGGGCAGTCTCAATAACAGACACGTTTAACGAAGGTAGTCCTAATTATTAACTTAAGCCAACCAAGTGAAGAGAGACCTTGACCGTGGAACTTTAAGTTTTATGTTCAATGAGACACTCAATACGTACAAAGTGACCAAGAGATGAGCTGAGGATATAGGTTTGTATTTATTTCTACATTGCAACTTTTGCTGAGTCGCCAGTATACATATACATTTTTAGTGGCAGTAAAGCTCGTGGTGAAAGAGTTCGTCCAGGGAAGTACTGCCACGTTACCTATTTCTGCTGCCAAGCAGCATTAATGTGAGCATTGCTGTGTTCCGGTTTCGAAGAGTGTATATGGGTGCTAGTGAAACTATTGGCACATGGAATTTGTCAACTTATGTCTAGGTGGCGGGCGCAGTGGCAGTGCCCCTCAGATCTTTGTAATTTAAAGCTTTGAGTAGCACTACACTAACAGTATTGCTTACCACTAGGCGCACGATTTCGTTCGTCCCGTTACTTGATATCATGAAAAAAGAGATGAGCTGAGGAGATGGGGATTAAAAAATGACGTTTTCAAGTCTAAAAATTTTACCTATGGAATAAATGATTGTTTAACTTTGACTTTGCTTGTCGTGTGACTATGTCTATGTTTTAGGCAGCCACAAGTGTTCCAGTATTATGTTACATACTGATCGACGACAGATTGCGGGCCGCATTGTTAGGGCGTATGAGAAGACACTACGCTTTGTTGTCAACACCCGAGCGCGCCAAGTGGTACAACCCGTATGATAAGAATGTTTATGAATGTGCCAAGTTGTACGAGTAATTTTGGAGCCTAAACAGGTGTTCTAAGTCCCCCTCAGATCTTTAAGATAATTGAAGGATTCAATGTAAAAGGAATAAATTGTTATATTTTTAAAGAAGTTTTTCTTTTTTGATATCTTTTCATTGATAATTCCAAAGGAAAATTATTGTTTTAATTATATTAATGTCTACTAAATAAGAAAGGTAAAGGTAGTGTTATTTGTATCCTCAATTATAATAAACCAAAAGTAGGCACGTTGTGTCATCGATATATGCCATTTATCTAGTGCCCAAAATGATTGAATTCTTGATCTTTTTGCATATTAATTCAAAATCTTTTTGTATTAGTTGAACATGTGTAGTTTTTTTTAAATGATTTCGTCAGTTTCTCGAAAATGTTTAGCCCGTTGCACCAAGTACCAAGTTGTCACTTTCTTATTAAGGGTGAGAATGTCCGTCTAATATTCCTTTATGTAATAGGCGTAATCAAACACAATGCTACCGTTTCCTGATTGAAGCCTCCCGTGACCTAACTGTAGCAGGTTTGCTTTTCAGTAACATAAATCGATACTTCATTATAACGGTTGAAGTTGAAAATCAGTACTTTGCTTACTATTTCAATTCAGATTACTTTCGCGTCGTTTAACTAAATTCTTTTATACTTACAATTTGCTTCTAACTTTTGTAATGAAATGTAAAATAAAAAATGTGTGCGTGCAAAAGTGCAATGATTTTGATATCTTTTACTTTTATCTTGTAAAGTAAATATCTCCTGAACTAAAAAGTTACTAGTTACTAGTTGCTAAGAGCGTTTGCTACTTGAGAATACTGTAATTTATCTGAATGTGACGCAGCAGGTTTTACTGGATATTATTTATGCTGTGCAATCCGAGCTCCCGCCGGGACCCCGGGGTGCACTACTGCACATGTCCTTTGCGCCGCATCACGCGCACGCGCTTTCAGATTTTCACAAACTAGACCTAGATATCTGAGCCGAGTCTGGATTGCCATCCGCTATTGCTGCTTCATAAGTCATTGATTTCTCTCACCTCGTTCTCATAGGATGTGTACATCTCTTAACGATTGAATTATATATCTTCTTTGTGCAGTTTGAAAATTTAACCATGTTTACCAAGCCAAAATTAACGTTTAAATATATTTCAAAATATAATAATACTCTATCAAAATATAATACTTTTTCAGAATATAATACTTTATCAAAATATAAAACTATAGCCAAAAATTTAACATACCCTCAAGGCTCTAACACATGCGTGTGGAAGCAGATCTTCTCAGACAAGGAGCGCGAGAATATGACACATGGTCTGTTCTACGTCGGTAAGTTTTCTTCATTTATGTAAATATGCTATGCGTATATTGTTAATAGGATTGGCTCAGCTGTTTAGATAAAAAAAACAGATGAATGTTCTTATTTACAAATTATAGAGTCATATATGTATATATGCATACGCTGAATGCGCAGGTTATTGGATAAGTATTACAATTTAATTTATTATTTAAATGAATATTGAAAAAAAAAAATTATCTCTACCAGTTTTCAATGCCGCCATTTTGTTGACCTACAATTCTTAAGTAAAAGGTTGAGGGAGGTTAGTACTTTCAATTAATCTTTTAAACGACTACTACTTACAAAATAAATTTTATGGATCTCACAAAATTATTCTCCAATTGAAGAATATACTCACATATGTTTGAATTGTCTATGATCGGTGGGCGAAGCGAAGCTTGCTCGATACGGGGGGCGGGGCACCTCCGTTGTAATATACATCGCGCTCCGAGCGCTCTGCGTGGGAAGGGTTGCGTCACAATGTCCGCCGCGCGACGCGACGCGACGATGCATTACAACGAGCAATATAATTTGAACTTTATCCTCTACATGATAAAACTACATTTCTTTGAAAAAAAAATGGAAATGAAGATGCAGCAAGCGGCCGCGGGCGGCAGCGGGTGGCAGTGGCCAGAGTCGAGCTGCGCCGGGCACACTTTATAAAATGCAATATAATGTAGAACATAATATTCTCTACTAAATAAAGTATACATTTCTTCTACAAAAGGGTAAAGCCGCGCTGCGTCGCGCTTCACCGTGCTGCGCAACACGACGCAGATTACCTATCTTTATCGTCGCAATAAAATTGTTACGTATCTTCTCAACAATAACGAAAGCCCGTGCACTTGCACCGTGCGTCTTGTGGGAACAGAGCTTGTGAAAATTACAGGCTTTTAGGCGATTTGGTATGAGAAATCTAAACAACGTTTTCATATATATTATTTCGCGATTAGTTTTATTATACCACAATTGTCTTCTATGTACTTACCTAGATTGTGAAATTTATCTTTATAATAATACAAATCTGGGAAAAAAGGATATTAAATAAGTAAATTGTATATTTGGCAAGGTAATTCAAATACCTATTAAATTGTGGGGTATAATAGGTTTAATAGATAAAGGTACCGAAAAACAAATGATAATGCAGCGAACTGAGCTAACTCAGCTGAGTTAAAATGAGTTACTGAAAAGTTAAACACAGAATAAGTCGACAAAATTAATCAAATTTAGCAAACAATCAGAAATTGTTCAAACACAATATAAAAAACAACTGTACTTCCGAATAATATACTAATCTTGGGAAAGAAATACTAACTTACCGAAAATATATATCGCACTGCTATTACAACAGTGTTGTAACTCAAAATATGTGAAATTTAATATTATGTCATTACTGAAAGTAAAATTTGATTCTCTTCACGTCGTTAGAATATTCTAAGAAACAATCAAAAGATATCTACTTAACTCAAAATGAGACACACTTTATGTGAGCTAGTTCTGGCTAAAATAATCCTTATTCAAAAACATGAAATTATTTTTCCCATTTTATTGTTACATACATATATTTGAGAAATTGTTTAAGTGCCTATAATAAACTATGACATATACATTTTTATGATTTTTTTGCGGGAAGTGAGTAATTCTTTTTTTACGTCTCTGAGAAAGTCCTCTTTTTGAGTTAATACACTAATGTATGAACAGTGCGATATATAATTCTATAAAAACATATTTACCACACTGTAGGAAGCAACTAGCTTAATTTATATTATTGGTTATTGGTTTACTTTTTTAACTCTAATTTAATATTGTTTATTATTCCTATTATTTACTATCAAATCCTACTCGACCTACTAGTGGAACCAAGAGTAGAACCAACAGACCGAAAGGGATATTTGTGCAATGCACGCAACTCGATTTTAATATTTTTCTTTAATAATGAGCCGGACCACCACACTAATTACTTGGTCTCCAACTTGGGATTCCCTGTGAGTACTAGAGAAAGGAATTCACTTTGTAGTACTACCTAGAATACGTCGACCGGAAAAAAATTTAGGAAACTTCATTTTGCAAACTGATCTAATCGGGAATCGAACCTGGAACCTCCTCTTCCAGTGCCCACAGTGTAAGCCGTTAGCCACCGAGATTTACAGTAATCTGCAGTAAGTAAAAGAGATTGAGAAGTGCTATAAAGATATAAGTGGATAAAAAATACAAGGGTGGTTTTATAACTGGCACATTGCACTATGACCGCCCTGGGCCCTGATTTTAATTCAAATCGGAATCGACCCGATCGGGCAGCCCATCCGCAATATTATACACCTCGACTCGGAAAAGACGCACTTCCTGATCGGGAGAGGCAATCAAAATCAAGCTGCCGGTCAAGCATGCTGAGATGTGTTTGTCATTGAATTCGGGTGCCAAGTGTTGAACGGATGTGGGAAGAAGATGATGATTAGGACACCGAGTCTATTAATTACTATTTTTAGTAGCAGTAGAGCTCCTTGTGAAAGAGTTCGTCCAGGGTAATACTGCCACCCTATCTATTTCTGCTGCCAAACACTGCTGTCGGCATTACTGTGTTCCGGTTTTAAGGGTTAGGGTACTGGTGAAATTACAGGCATATGGGACTTGTCAATTTATGTCCCAGGGTGACGGGCGTAGTGGTAGTGCCCCTCAGATCTTTGCAATTTAAAGCTCTGAGTGGCACTGTAACTGTTACGGACAGGCGTATAGCTTACCATCAGGCGCACGACTTGTTCGTCCCGTCTCTTGATGTTATAAAAAAAAATCCAATCACTTAATAACAACCTATCGCCACACACCGATGCCGCCCATTTTGCACTATGCATTGATGTTGTCTGCGTTACCCGGTCTAGCTTCTTCCCATGGTGCGATTGTGGGAAGCCACATTCACATCTGGCAAAAAAACAAACAAAGAAGCATCATCATGCTTCTTTGTTGTTTTCATCATCATGCTAAAGTATGCATTTAGTACCAAAGAATCCTTAAGTGTTTTTCATGTGGCTTAACTGTGGATCAAGGATACAAAAACAATTCCTATAAGTAATATAATACATAATATAATAATGCACTTCACAATGCAATGACACAATAACAAAAATTACCTGGGAAAATTTGCGTCTTCTATGCGTGTTGCTCTTTAAGGAAATATTTTATGAGGGATTATTAGACACTTATCGAATCCATAAATACCAACTTTACAAATTTGCAGCATAATGAGGGTACAAATCGATCCATGTATTTTCATTGCAGCTGTCGTGTCGACATTATGTGCTGTCTGGATGTGGAGTAGAACCAATACGGCTATTTATCAACGTCTTTCCAATAAAAAGAGCTATGACGTACTTCGACTTTTCTTTCTGGGCACGCTGCTAAAGAACCTCGTGGGCTTGGCATCTTACAACATGGATGACAATAAATTCAAGAGACTTCCAAAAGTCAGGTAACGTTCTTGTAAAGTTTTGTTAATGCTTAAAGTTATCATCTGACATTGTTATATACTTACGTAACGTCGTTATACGTGGGGCGCACTATAAGTTTCGGGAATGAATAAGAAAATTATACTATAAATGGTCAGAAATGAATTTATTGTTTCTCAAAATATTCTCCATTAGCGTTAATGCACTTTCTCATACGAATGAACTAATTTTGAAAACATGTATGCCACTCCTCCGTGACAATCTCTGAAACATATTTTTCATACTCTTCGACAGCCTCTTCGGGTTATGAAAATCGTTGACCGCGTAACTGGTTCTTAATTTTTGGAAATAAATAAACATCATAAGGTGCCAGGTCGAGACTGTACGCGGGATGGCTCATAAGGTCAACGTTGTTCACCTTTAAAAATTCATTTGTCTGTCTGGCCGTGTGAGAACTGGCATTATCGTGGTGCAAGATGATACGGCGTTTACGGTTATTTTACGGAGTTTGTTAATAACTTCCGCCAAAGAAATGGTCGTGTACCAATCACTATTCACGGTACAATGATTCTCCAAAGCAACAGTAGCCACGTGTCCAGTTTTATTTAAAAAAGAAGCAATCATCCGCTTAGAGGCACTTTGCACGCGCGCCACTTTGGTTAGTATCGGCTCATCTCGAAAGACCCATACGCTCGATTGCTGCTTTGTTTGGGATCGTAACTATAAATCCATGTCTCGTCACCTGTTACTATGTCCCACACCAAATTTGACGCCCCTTCGTTGAATCTGGTAAGCATGGCATTGCATCAAGTGACGCGATTCGTTTTTTGAGCCTCAGTCAAATTGTGTGGGATCCACCGAGAGTACAGCTTTTTCACACCCTAATGTCTAGTATTGATTGTATTTGACTCATGCCTATGCCTAAAGATGTCCGAATCTCATGGTATGTCACATGCCTGTCTGTTTTGATCATACAGCGCACAGCATTGATGTTTTTGTCGTTCACAGCAGTGGACGGGCGACCATCACGACATTCGTCACTGAGATTCACACGGTCGCGTTTGAATTCTACAAACCAGCTATAAATAGTTGTCTTGCATGGGTGCTTCATCGCCAAAAGCACTTTGAAGCCGAGCGAAGCTCCGCTGAGCTGTTACATTACACTTACAGTCGTAGAAATTCATACTACAAAAATGTTCACGAGTTAAATCCATGATGATGTAGACAACCAATTTCTAAAATGACGCCACAATGTAAAACAAGTGACAGTCAGATGAAACAAACTGTATTCTACGGCCAAAGAGTTCCATTTTCAAACGTAATTACTTTTTAAATATTGTTTATGTAAGTGGCCAGTTCCGGAAACTTATAGTGCGGCCTATGTACTGCGAAGACCAATTATCTGGATTTTTTACAGAACATGGTTTAAATCTATAGGAAAATGTGACGTAATTGGTTACGTAAAATGCAAATGTTTACATAATCTCGGAAAACCATGAAATGTGAAATCATCAGTCAAAAACTATCGTGGATAACCGTGGTATATGTGAGAAATATTTAATCGTCGTTGAAATTTCAATTGCATTTATTTCAAAGTTTTTGTGAATTAAATAATTGTTATTTCTATTATAACGACGATATAGAAAACATAAAATGTAAAGTTTATATTAGACATGAATAGGACATTTTATATGTTCATTAAGGTCTTTATATTCTTTCAGATTTTTCGAGTCATGCAAGGTGTATGGTATCCTATACAACTTCTTCAATTTTTTCGAACTGGAAGCCCTGACTTTCAGCTGCGTGGAGCGATATGTATACACCAAGTATATTGTATATGGTAATGTTATATCATTAGTATTGCCATATTATATAATAATGTATGTTTAATTTCTAAGTAATTTTTATTTTCATTTTTATATCCATTATAGGTTGGCCACTGAAAAGTTTCACCTATTCTATTTACGGAACTTTTAGCTTTATTAACGCGATCTTTTACGCATTTCTTCCAATGGTTGGCTTCGGAAGTTACGGATACGACTACAATTGCCTATTTTGCACCATAAGCTTGATTGAACTTGAAGAGTACCGCGGTGTCGTACATTTCATAAAAACCGTTAAGCCAGTGTCTGTGTTCTACGTGATTAAAATGTAAGTAATACTCTAATTATGTACGATTGTCACTAACCTTATAATACAGCTCAAGTTACATTTTATACCTAACCTTTTTTTAGGACAAATGTTTAGTTTTCTTAAAGGCAGGTCTTCTTTCCTTGACTACAATTTTGAGTACTGACAAGGTAGATTTGGCCATCGACATGTTGCAGACTTACAATATAATAATGTTATTCTTTATAATGATACTCATATTGATATGTTGTTCTCGCCAATACGAATATTTTTATTTCAATTTCATAAAACTGGATAGAATTCCACAATAAAGTAAAAGTGTTTGGTTAACGTTATAATAAGAGAGGAAAGTACCCTATTAGAAGTGACACAAGATTTCAATGAAAAAGAGTGTACAGATATGAAGTGATAATTAATTTAAAAATTGATATACTTATTATTTAATTTATATTAAATAATGATATGATTATTAATGACAAAAGGAGAAAGGTCACAATCCGTAGAAAATTAACCCATTCCCGGCGCAAAAGAAACTTATCTCTGAATTTTGCTTATATTAGATAAGTAAATTCTGTATAGTTTTTGTTTTCGACATGTCAATATTACCTTTTGTTTTTGCTAACTATAAAAACTATATAGAATTTACTTACCTAATATAAGCAAAATTTTGAGATGGGATTCTTTGTGCGCTGGGTCTGGGTCATATTTGACCCTTCTTCTTTACGCATTAAAAATAAACTAGAAAATTAAATAAAATAGTAGCAATCGCATTTAAAACTTGTCGGTTTAAATCTACAGTGGACAGGTTAGTTACATAGTTAAGTAAGTTACGTAAGTAGGTATATTTTTTCTAATTTTTAAAATATGTTATAAAACTTAGCCTAAACTAAAAAAGTAAAAGTGCGAAACGAAGCCTTGCTATATGACATGTTTGTTTCCGAATTTTGTTTTTTGTTTCTTAATTTTTTCTCCACAAATTTCGGGGAGTATAATATTAGTAAATAAATATGGTTGTTTACAAAAACGATACAAAATGGCGTAGTATTCATTGGAGGTGTCAATAGTTATGACTTGTTTGTAGTACATTTTCAAATTCCAATCATACGCTCATGATTAAGTAATAGCGTGATAATACATTTAGTAGTTTGAAAATTTGTAAGGCTTACTATAGATGAATTAACTCGCTGCTAGGGTTGGCGATAATTTCCCATGAGGGTAACATTTACGGATGTCCTAGTACAAATTAAAATTAAAAGTACCTTAACAGAATTCCAAATTGCGAGGTCGAAAATATACCAAAAAGTGGATTTTTTATGGAATTATGTTTTTACTTATGAATACACTAAAGCACTTGGATTTGTTACAAAAAAGAAACCGTTCCTATGATTTAATGGCAATTTTTGTGTCTGTTTTGTATGGGGATACTTTCCATGTTGCAACCGTATTTATTATGGGAGATGCTATCCGCAAAGTATACTCTCTGTACGTTCGTGCCTTGAGTTTTGTTGTTTGAGTTGCATATGAGTGGATGTTGAACTTTTTCTTGCCTGGAATGCGTAGTGGTTATGAAAAAAAGATCTCCATTGAATTATTATGTAGTGTGGGGTAAAAATTTTGACCGCGATTCTGTTCGTGATCGTACTTCTAATAACAAACAACTTCAGCAAAAAAAAATATTTTCAATGTGCAAAAAAAATCTGCACTTTACCATTCAGAACTTTTGTAGAACTTTTATTTTGATGAATTTTAAATAATTTTACTTAAATAGTTATTTGTTATCATGCGTACGATCAGGAGGTGAAAAACTAGTTGAAACGTTTTGTTATATTTTTATTCTCTTTTTTAAGTACGTTTAGGTGGGACCAGTGTTAAAGATGGGAAAGATAAGATTTTGTTGCGTGATTCCTTTTACGAATAACTTAAGCCAAGTATGTATGAACGTTCTCGTCAAAGTTTCGATAAATAAAAAGATATTGGTAAAGAATTTCGCTTCTCAGAATCCGTTCAGAGTTTTAAAAAACGTCAAGTTTAAAATGCCATATTAGTTTTTTAAATTAAATTAAAAGTACGAGAACATACTAACTAGTATGTTCTCGTACTTTTAATTTAATATAAAAATATAATGTAACTATATTATAGACTGTTTTAAAAATCAGAATTTCATTATTTCATTTCAATATTTTAGGATCGTTACGCTGGCCGTTGTTCAGTACTTGTACAATAAACTTCGTCGCCAAATAAATGTTAAACGCGGATTATTGGCAGATGCATTTTTTACGACGGTGAGTACGTACAATAGTAGTACAAGTAGGTATATTGAAATTTAGTCAACAAACGTATTTAGAAATAACCCACAGTATTCAATAACAAAATTGAATAGGTACCTAATCTCATTTAATCATCTTTTTGAACAAGTTTTTCTATGGGCAAATGATGTTCAACTAATACAAATTTGATATTCAGTATACATATGAGAGGTGAAAAAAAATCACACATAATGATTGCATTTCAGACGGTGAAGTGTATTTTGGTGGTGAATTTTATTTTCTGGGCACTTCCGTACATGCTACGATGTGAAACAGTACTCTCCCAGTTCATTAACCCGAGGATCGTTGAATCTCATACAGATTATATGATTTCCTGGGGTTGGTTCATGTCGCAGGTTGGTTTCAATATTTGTCTTTTATTTTTTGGTTACAGAGTTATACTGCATTATCTCGTGTGAGTAATAAAAAGCGACAAGGGTATGACAGGATAATTTCGTCTTTCTTAGTTCAATGATTCACCAAAGCGAAGAGGAAAAATATGTGTAATGTGTACATTTTTGTTTAGGGAGCAGAGATATCAAAACAGTCGAAATTTGTTGGTTATTGAAACACATTTCTCTTTTCCGCTTCTTTGGGTTTTTTTTGATACCACGTTACGGGACAAATCTTTACGCGTGAGGACGCACACATTCGCATTATTTCGCGATGCACTCGCGTTGCATAGCGCTGATCGTCCCCTACGCGCCTTACATTATTATGCGAACCTGTGCGTCTGTACACGGCGCGCGGTGAGCGCACACTTAGCGCTGCTGCGTATGAATGGAGTTACCATGCTTGTCTTATTATACCATGCTGTCAGGTTATATTGTGATGAAGCGTTCGTAAATTTCGTATTTTTCATAAAAAAACTATTAACACAAATTATACAGTCATTAATAAATCGACACACGAACTCTTAATTAGCAGAGTCAATTCAAAAGTCGTGATTTCTTACAAAACCGTACCAAATTTTTTTTTAAACGCACACACTGAACATAGCCGCGCACAAAAAAAATCCTGTGTCGCGGTTGCTATGTACACACAGACAATCACTAATTACACCCAAAATCACGAGAGAAAGAAATGTAGGCCATACAAATATTTTTTCTGGCCCGGGTATCGAACCTGGGACTTCTGCGTGGCTGTTCGGCATGGTAACCGTTCGGCCACTGAGGCAGTTATAGTAGTAGGTAACTTAATTTTATGTAAAGAATAGTTACTGACATCTTTGATACGTCTCTGTAAATTATCTGTACCTACACCCTTTAGAGTTTCTTTAAAGTTTTCTATATAATTAAATTTTTATTGAATTGATATTCAATTATTTTTTGTGAAATTACTCCACTAGTTTGTTATAATTATTAATATAGAGATCGAACACTCAGAAAAAACACTCAGTTTTCTATATATTTCAGCTGGCACCGATTGCAACAGCAGCCGTGTTACTTATAGAAGAATGGAACTCACAAAATGAACTTAAGGAAGTCCGTACCTGTGTTGATACAATCCATGTCCGTAAGTAAATGATAAGATCATCAAATTTGCTACAGACTATGAAGAAACCATTCTGAAGTTTTTGAAATCTAGATATATAGCGTTAAGGAAATATTCGGAATGCATGGTAAAATGATTAAAACAATATAATTAAAAAAACTGTATAGGCGTACCGTTTAGTCCGTTTAGTAACTGTTGTATCATACTTATTGAAAATTTCTGTATTTTCTACGTACAAACTGCCCTAATAAAAAAACACTGTAATATTTAAACAGCATTTTGAGAAAAAGTTGCGTAAACAATTTTTCTACATCTGTACTATAATCTGTCAATTATAATTTCATAAACCATATCACAAAAGCGCTCTTTTTAATTCTAAATCAAAATTCTATTGTTCATGGTACTCGCTACGGAACTGAGAAATTCAATTATACCTAGTTCTGTACACATGAGTACATATAGGGCCCTGCGCAGACGACAGACTATCCGTGACGCACTTTTTAGTCTGTGAAAATAGAACCTATGCAATTATATGCAGTAACGCACACGACGCGCAAAAAGTCCGGCGCACAAAAAATCCGTGTAATTCGGGCAGACCGCACCGCGCCGCTCCGCACAAAAAGTGTGTGAAAAACATTGAACGTTTGCTTCAACGCGCGCTAACGCAGACGGCGCACACTTTAGTCGGCAATCTGCATTTGCTAGGGGTGGACGTAAAAAAAAAAAAAGGGGTGGACGTAACGCATGCGATCTATTATCATGGCGCCAGAGGTCGATGTAACTATGTTAATTCAAGAAATACAAAACAGACCAGCAATTTATGATACTTCTAAGGCAGAATATCATGATAGACATTTAAAAAGAAAAATGTGGGAAGAAGTGTGCTGTAATGTTTATTCCGCTCCTGTTTGGACATGTTTGACCTCTTCTTCACTTCGCGATCTCTGCACGATTTCCATAGCGTCTACGTCCCTACAGCTCTGCCGACAAAATGAGCGAAGATGTGCGTCGTGTGCGTTGAGTCTGTGAAAAATCCGCGACCGACTTTTTGCGCGCCATGCAGACTTTTTGTGCGCCGCAGACTCGATCGCACAAAAAGTGTGCCGTCTGCGCAGGGCTTAAGTATGATTTGAGAGTTTCAAAAAAAGAACGTCGTATTTTTGGTAATTAAAATATCTATTATGACGCTAGTCAAACACTCTACTGCCTTTCGATTGGTTACATTGGCCTAAAGGTCTTGCAACCGGGCCGTAATCTTCGGAGTCCAGATTGATATTTGCCTAAAGATTTCTATTTTGTATTTAAATGATATTACATATTCTTTGAGAAACTTTAAGTAGTTGTGAGTAAATTAAGGTCTTCTTACATATCTATAATTTTATTTTGTACTTTTATTAATAATAATATAGTGGAATCGTGTTTTGAGACGCACTTTTACCGTTATTAATCTCTAAATGTAATCGTTAGAATGTAGAATCGTAAACCTAGAGGAAATACTTAAATAAAATATGTATGAAAAAAGTAAGCTGCAATTCCAGTATAGTTTAATATAATTATTTTGTGTGGTAACGTCAATGTACACTGTAACCGTATTACATACGATTACATTAGAATAACAACAATATTTTACAAAGACAATTAAATTTGTACGAAGAATATAGCACAGTTCAGTATATACATCGATTTATCTAAATCAGTCAAATATAGTATCTTATGTAAAGTGTTCGTAAAAAGGGAGGGATGCGAAATAAAATATGTTATAATGATAATGAACACAAATTGAAAGATATTATCTTTGTAAAGAAGAAACAAATGGCTGAAGATTGATCTATCACAAAAGCATAGAATATGCTTGAAGAAGTATATTGGACCTCATACACTCTAATACGATTGGTCCACAGTAAGGCCGTTATGAAGAAAATTCTCGTTCATCATACATCACACAATACATCGTTAGCATACAAACAAACCACAGTATTGCCTATCAATCATTTTACTTACGAGTGCTGTAGAATGTCTACTAGGATATATTATATAAAAATCTGTGTGTTTCAAATTATTAACAATAACATTATAGTTCTCGTAGTGATCACGTAGAAATACATCATACATACTCGTATGTTAAGCCAAATATTCTTATAACTATTTATTAAACAATCAATTGGTTGCAATTCTTAGAACTGGCATGTCGCCAGGTTAAACGTTAAATGTGTTAATTAAAAACTAAATAAAGATATTAAATCACACGCCCTCTTTCACTGTCGTAGTTATAATATTTTTTTTAATTCCACATTCACTACCCACACTAGCTCTGGAATGCGCTTGGAAGTCGCTGAATTGTTCATTGCATTCATCCATCACTTCATGAATATTTACAAGGCGGCTACCTATCGTCGTTATAAAAATTATTCTCTTCTATTATTGTAGTAGTATATACCCTGTTGCTGTAAGTATCCTCCGAAGAACCCGTGTAGGATGGTGTGGAAGGACTGTAAAGTACAATAAGTGGATAATCGTGCTTAGCCCCTCCCAAGGCATCCTGCTAAATTTCCTCCATGACAATATCTGTGTCCCATTGGCTTTGATTTATCCGTCTCTCGATCAAAGGTATAAAGAATAGGATCAGACCACTTAATGCAATGGTAGCTCCTGCTACGTAGAAACCAGGAGCATATGAATCCAGAACATCGAACAGCCAACCTAAAATGTAATATTAAATCTGTTTAGTCAAGATCCCATTTATTCGAAGATGTAATTGGATCGATTCGAATATAAGTTTAATTTAAATTTCGCTTTACCTGCAAATGGCGGTCCAATTAGTGAAGCGATGCCTTGAAACAGCAGTAGAAGACCAAATGCGTTCGTGAGCCTTTCTAGACCCAGAAGGTCAACTAGCACCACAGAAGTAAGCCCCACGTAGGCACCAATTGTGAAGCCAAATAGTGTTGCATATATTGCCAAGCCATAAAACTCCCAACAGATCATGGACAAAGCAGTACCTGTAAAGAAAAGTGATTTAGTTAGAACGATATTTCATGGAATTGGATACTGCTTCATTTCATAATTCAAGTTAATACTTACTGACGCCTGCAATAGTAAGGCACACGTTGTAAGCAAGCAATCGATTCACCCAAGGTTTGTCGCTGATATATCCCAAGATAATCCTTCCTACTAAGTTTGATACACCAATCACAGAGATCAGATATTCGGGATTTGGTATTACTTTGTCTTTACACATAGGCACTATGTAAACGTACGGAATATAAAATCCTATGCTAGTTAAAAAGTTTGACACAGCAAATAAAATGAATATGGGGTCTACAAGTAAAGAAAGATCGAGCATTTCTGACAGAGCTTCTTTAAATTCGGATGGACATGGTAACCATCCGCATCTTTGTTCACGCTCTTCGATTGACGTGTGGAGAGTTCTTTCTGGTGATGGCGCTCTGAATTTTGCTAAACTCGTCATGCTTCCTTGGTATAATACGTCAGGTCTTTGCATAATTCCGCTGCCATGTCGAGAGTGCCTGCGTAATTTTTGTTCTTGGGGTTTATATAGTGCTGGTTGGGAAAGGGTCAGCCTTGCCACATCATTTTCTTCCGTTTTTCCATTACCTCTAACTACATGTTCTGTGCTTTGTGATCTTTTTAATGGCGATTTATTGGATTTCGGCAGCATGGGTTCTGTCATGGGAGTCCTCGGAAGTTCAGGCACTGGTCGGAACATAAGTCCTAATGGCACGCAGTTGAGTATAAAGGCACCGATAATGGCCATAGCTCCTCTCCATCCATATTCGGTTATGAGCGCTTTGGTTATCGGAGCAAAAAGGAATGTTCCAAGCCCGGAGCCACATACAGCAATACCTGAAAATCAAAACAATATTTTCTTCAAAACTATGTAGGCAAATTAACAGTACTTAGAAAGTAGTTGTGTGTTATGCTTTACTGGATTGACTTGAAACTCAAAATAAAATAGTTGCTTACCAGTTGCAAGACTCCTATAGCGTTCGAACCATACAGTAACGCTGACGATAGCAGGCAGGTATATGAGTCCAAATCCTAAACCGGTGCCTATGCCGATAGTTACAATGAGTGTGATCACGTTGTTCGCATAAGCTGATGCAACGACGCACACCGCAGATAATAACGCGCCAGCGACTGTCACAGAACGACAACCCCATCGATTCACAAAGGAACTTGATATAGGCCCTGAAAGTAAAACAAAATGACGTTAAAGCAGAATCCTTACTACGAATGTCAATTATGTTATCAATTTCATAATAGATTAATGGTCCTGATCGAATTTCCCGCATTTGTTTGTACACAAATTAATTAATCATAAATTGACCCAAATACGATATAATTAATCAGTCATTTCGTTTGCGAACACGATATATGTGATATATTTATGGCATGTAGCCATAAATATATATGTGATATATTTATGGCATGTAGCCATAAATATATCACATATATCGTGTTTCGTGTGTATTTTCACTGTTTTAGGGGTTAGTTCAATGTTTTATGAAGGCTATAAAATATCATAAGCTTGTAATTGTTTTGGGATGGCAATATAATGTTAAATAAAAAGGGCTTGAAAATTGTTAGACAACTTGACTTAAGTAGGGCTGTATAACAACGAAACACCATTTGGAGTAGTAGTTACAATTGCGAAAAAAGTGTGGTGGAGTTTTTTTCATTAAGAAGTTTATTTTAAGTGGTAATTCTAATGCCTACTATATACTGTCCTCCTTATCATAATTGACTTTAGAGAAATTGAGTTATTAACATATCTGGAATAAGCTAAATGAGATCGACAACATTATAACCGGCATTTATACCTTATTTAGTATCAGTTTTATTGTTAATCAAAATCAACGTATTTGACATATTTCAAAGAAAAAAAAACTTTAGATACCAATATTTCGAAAGTAACTAAAGGGAAAGTGCGATAGTTATAACAAGGAAGGTTGTATGATTATTTGCATATTCTTAGGCACATGACTACTTTCGCTTTTCGCTATCGTATTTTCTTTGCATGCAAGAAAAGTACATATTATGACCAAAATAAACTACATTTGCTAGAGCCTATTGGTATCTGTTTAATCTATACTGACCTGAACTAAGCGTGACTCCTACGAGGATGGAGACGATCAATGCAGTCTTGCCTTTGCCCTCGTCGAAGTAGGTCAGGAACTCCGCATAGAACACCCCGAACGAGTACGTCATGCCATCGGCTGAAATTAAACAGGTTACGGGTTAATAAACAACATTTATTGAGTCAATTAATATATATATCGTATTATATGCAAATACTAACAATAAAAGTCACATTGCAGCTCTCTAGCTGCAATGTGACTTTGCACATAATGTTAACAAATAACAAAAGAGATAGAATTTAATTATTTATTCTTCCTTATTATCACGGGTGCAACAATAACTAGCTGCAATATGGTCGGACCTATTCATAGATATATGAAATCATGAAATGACAGAAAATATATTTTACTTAAGTAACTTAACATACTTAGTAAGTATTACAATTGGTTTAACTATTAACACACAAAACTATTGAAGTAGCTAATAGACGCCCATGAACTCATTACCATCATCGAAATAAACTAATTGTGTTAAGTTTATATTTATATCCATCTACTCGTGTATTTTGCGTGCCTTATTGTAACCTGTGATAGCATTACAATGTCAATGAATTATTCAATCTTTATTTACATACAATTTACCTGTCACTACACTTAAAGTGGGTTAGCATGTTGACATGATAGACCTTTGAAGTGTTGAGAGTATATAATGCAGGTATTATATCGATGCTGTGAATAGTGTAGCAAACAATGCCTTCCTAAACAATGGATGCCGACGTCAAAGCTTTTCTACCTTTCAGTTAGTAAGAAAAAGCAATGATGCTGTTTTGTTTTCTAGAAAACTATTTTATAGCGCTATGGAGTGAAATTATACGCATCTTCCTAACTTCACAAGAAAATTTGTATTGTGAGGTGTCCCTTTTATTGACAGGCCTATGCTTAAGGTGGTGATCATAAGTGCTTCTAACAGGTAACTTCTTATTTCTTTTTATATCTAATCATATAACCCTTTAAATCAATGAAATTCTTCAAAAGAGATATAACAGTATTATTAAACAACATAATAGATCTGGTTTACCTACCAAGTATGTTTATATCCCTGTGGATGACGAAGTTTATCTGGCAGATCATTACCACCACTCATGACAAAATTGTTCAAAAAGGAAATAAATTTCTCTGCAGAAGCTGGATCTTTAGGTACAAAAACAGGAGTACCTTAAAACAGCATCTTTATGACCATAGGTCAGTCATCAGTGCTGTTACTACGATAATAATAACGGTGACGCTACAATTTCCAAAAGGATCGGTTGAACTTAACCAGGTTTTCCTAAATCCTTTGTTTAAAGTATCAGATTGAATTAAACGAGGATTGGTTTAAATAGGATATTTTTGCTGCAGATTCCGTTACGTATTATTTGACAACTACTTCATTATTATATGTAATATAGGCTTAGTGAGACAGCGTTGCATAAATGTATACATAATGAATCAAATGTTTCATCCAAATAAAGACTACCAACTTTTAGTTAGTTTTCCCCAAAATGTGAGAATAGTAACTAAATAATTTATTTAAAACTTCTGCATTTTGATTTATAATTTTGTGTTTTAAGTGCTTACAAGTAAGTACCAATGAAAGTTTAGTATCTTATAATGTGCTCAAAAGAATTTGTTAAAGAATTTGTAAGTTATATTTGTATCGTGTTTTCGATCGTGAATGACACGCACTTGTACCGTGGTCCGTGAAACAGAGTCTACAAAGAAATACGGATAATTTTAGTCAATGATAGCGTGGTAAGCCTCGATAACCTTAAGTCTATATAATTTACATCATTATCGTCATCGACCTCTACATATTCCACTGCTGGGTGCAACTTTTCTATAGAGAAAGTTGTTTGAAAAGTTATGTTAATTCTTCTAAACATACATGTATGCAACTTCATCATTAAAGTGGTAGTTAGTAAACAAAACTGTACATTATTACAAAATGCGTAGTGGTGCAGACCTCCCTGTGGGAAATGAACTCAAGACTATTTCCACAGGAGATCAGCGCATTCCCAACTAAGCTATCGCTACTTTATAAAACTGTTGTACTATAATTGAATTTATTTTTCAGATACTTAGAAATGATGTATTTCCTGCCCATGCACACTTAATAGAGCTCCATACCAATTTATCTAGACTAAATCTTATGGTTGTCTATAATTGTATGAAGAGGTTTTTTAAGAGTAGAAGCTCTAATACAGGTAATAGTTTTAGTTTAGTGTTAAAAGCTACTGGAACAGTTAAAATGTAAATTGTCTTATTGCGATCTGTTGCTTCTTTTCAATGTTTTAAGAGTAATTTTACCCCAAAACAAGATCTTATGATGATAGTTCTTCTTCCGCTGTTGTCCAATCATATTAAATCACGTTTTTCTCTAACTTGTTTTTAGGTATACAATTTTATTATCTAATTCTCGCCAAATAAAACTTCAAAAGATATTTCTAAACGAAGAACACAATATCAATCTTCGAATTATATTTTTCAATTTTAATTTCAATTATAATATATATATTTTTGTCCGGAAAAATTTTTCCTTATTTGATTTTTTTCGGAAAATTATCCAACAGGAAGTACACACATACGCTATCGCGTATATGTATAGAATATTTTATCTCGACTAAAAGTCGTATAATAAACCGTATAAGCTGTCTCCTTGAAGTCTATCGTATGTCACACTAAAAACCCTTGCCCCTTTTTACTAGAGGTTATCTATACAACCTCCTGAAGATATCTTGAGAGACAACTTACTTTCAAGCTACTTAATCAAATATAACTCAATAGATATCTACAAAACAGTTATTACTGACTAACTTGGGTTATAAATTCAAAAATGTTTATTTTTCTATGAATTGATTGATTTTAAATGAAAGTTTTTGGCTGTAATGGAATTAAACAAATAATATTATTATTTTGTGTAGGTAAAGGTATTTGTAAGTAACACGACTCGAAACCTCGTTAAAAGTTTCATCAGTTGAATAGCAGAGATGTGAGAGTGATATTATGTTGAGTATTGCGTAATAAAACACGACATTAAAGTAACCGGTATTCCTGGTACTATCAAGTGTCAGATGTAGTGTGTTGGGCGATAGTTTGAACGTGTTTTAACTCGAGTGAGGCGAAACGAATGTCTTCCATTCACACTAGGTTTGCATGTTACATCCTATGGCATAAAGCTTTTTCCTATCTTGAAATATAGTGTTAATACATTCGTCGGAGATATGCCATTCACGATGTTAGATTAATATGGCGGCGGATTCAAAACGCTACAACGCGTAACTGAGCGATCAATTTTGGCTCGTTGTCATAGAAAGCATTTGGTCATATTGCGGCAAAGACAATTATATAATTTGTGTAGTATTGCTAAGGACGAATTTGAGGAAAATGATGAAGAATAACGAAAAACAGGCCATTTATAACCGATGAGCAATAAAAAGGTCTTGAACCTTAAAATAAATTGTAATATATATTTGGCTTTCACAAAATCGAAGATCAAAGTTCAATAATACTTACAGAAGATTTGACATTAAATTAAATTATCTTTTCATTATAGTTATATAATATACACTCATATTTCTAAACCATCGAGTACATTGATGTTCTAAACATATAAGTACAAACAAACAAGTATAACAACTTTACTATAAAATAACTCAATCGTTTGTGTATCATGTAAACTAATCATGTCTACACAGAGATAAATTTATTGTCACTGTTACCACTGTCATTGAAAGTAAAGTAACTGTTACCATTGAGCATTTCGATGAGAAACTCTTACAGAAAATCAATTACATCATCCCCTACGTTCTAGAACAATAATGATGAAACCAATTTAAGAACACAAGGAGTGCCTGGGGAACCCAATATTAGGTACTCATATTTATATTACTGATAACTTGATTGACATAGTCCTTTTTATCTTGTATACACATCTATTGACGGCCTTATCGTCCATAATATGAAGGGTTAAGTATTATTAAAATAGCCTACGCAGTGTTTGTGGGTATTATTAGAACTATTACATAAAAATATTTTTACGTTTAATATTCTTCGTGTTATCATTTTAGCGGCGTTTTAGTATCCTGTTAAAATATACAGTATCAAAATTATCCAATACTAATAAATTTCCAATGAAATTACCCAACTTTATACAAAAATTTTAAAGCAATATAATTTTTTTATAGATGTTGAAATGCAAAGATCCAAGGGAAAATAAAGAATTCTTTTATTAAAAAAACCTACACTGTATTATTTGAGCAAGCTTACGCTACTTTTAACTTTTTAGTATATTCCGATATACATAACTAAATAATACATATGTACAAATGATTTGAAGGAACACATTATGTAACATTTATACTAGTAAAGATTGAAGGGAACAACTATGCAAAGGTTTAATCGTTTGTCTGTCAAGAAAATTAAATGTGTCTACATAGAACACAAGAAAAAAATCCTTCGATGTGACTGGGCTCAAACTTTGGGGTGCACGAAGGGAGCCTCTCCGCACTATGTACCATTCCTTTCCAAAAGGAAAGACCTGACACACAGACCTACAGGTCCGGCGCAACCTGGGCTACAATCGGCGAGTATCTTGCGCTGATTGGCGAGGCAAAATATTTCGACATTCATCACGACGGCAAGCACTTAAAGTGTATACCATCGATACGATAAGAAGACTGGATTCGAAACAGTATCTGTTGCAATGCCGGGGCCATCGTCAAAGGTACCTAGCCGAGTGAGTAACATCATAAGTTCCTCACAGGTGCGCTGACGGCGAATCTTTATTCGCCGCCGTTTAAGAAATCCGACACAAAGGTCTATAACAAACATAAATAAGAAATGAAACTATTTTTCCGGACTTAAATCGCGTATATTCGGTCGGTTTGTTTGAAATAACAAATATACGCGATTTAAATCCGGAAAAATAGTTTCGTTTCTTATGTGTAACAAACGCGAAAACCTAAGAACTCGATAAACATAAATAAATTCGTAAGATCTGCTTACTCGGTCTGTAGCTTAATTGGTAAAGTGCGATGACCCCGGCACGGCAACAAATACTGGTTCGAGTCGAGTCAGATCGACAGAATTTTTCTTTATGT